TTTTTCCAGTAATTATGTACATATGTGAGAGTTGGACCATAAAGAAGGCGGAGTGGCAAAGAATTGATGCCTTTGAATTGTATTGGAGAAGACTCTTGAGAGACCCTTGGACAGCAAGGAGATCCAATCAGTCAATCCTAAAGGAAATCAACCCTGAATATTCATTGGAAGGATTGATGCTGAAGCTGAAGCTCCGATACTTTGACCACCTGATTCGAAGAACTGACTCATTGGAAAAGACCCTGATGCTGGGAAAGGAAAAGAAAGAGAAGAAGAAGAGGACAGTAGAGGATTAGATGGTTGGATATCATCACCGACTCAATGAACATAAGTCTGAGATAGTGAAGGACAGGGAAGCCTGGTGTGCTGCAGTCCATGTGGTAGCAGAGTCAGACACGACTTAGTGACTGAACAACAAGAAGGCAGATGAGCAATTTACTCAAAATCACAACGATGACAAGGACCAGATAGACGGAGAGGAGCTCGGAGAACTTGTGTCTGTTATAGTGCAATTGATGCCAGCACTGTCATGGTCCCCTCTCCGCTCTGGATGCTGGGGAGGAGTCCCCACCTGCAGGTTCTCACCACCCACCTGCACGCCACCTGGGCCAGTTACAGCAGCTGTGGTGGCAGGTAAAGCTGGGCTGCTCTGGGGCACCATGTCAGTCCCACCTGGACGGGATTAGTTGCTCTGACTTGAAGCCAAAGGATGTTCTCATTTCTTACACTGAGCAATGTGCTCGAGGGAATACTTATTACCTTATAAAAGCAAAAATTAGTGTGTGCTATGATTCTAAAATCTATGCAAAGAGGCTGATTTTCTGTAGACAAGCTCTAAAACAGGCAGGAAAGGTAATGAAAGGCTGTAAATGACACAAGTCCTGACCTTGGTAAAGGCCATACCAGAATCCTGTCTCACAGATGCCCTTGCAAGTTGTGTTGGAATGTTCTGTTTAGTTACTCTTTGAAATGTCCCTTTCCTTGTCCTTCCACTAAATGTAAACAGATCATTTTAAAGTTAAATAAGGAAGTGGGATTAAAATGCTAGATAATTTAGAGGAAAAAACAGATGAGAAAACAACTGTTTTTTTGTCCTCACCACAAAGAATCTTAACCACTGGACTTTCAGGGACGGTGGGGTCTGTGACATAGCCGCCCGTCGCTGATGGATGGAGAGGCCTGCCAACCTTCGGGGCCCAGTGGGCAGTCTGCAGCACACGGATGCTGAGGCAGCAGCCAGAGGAGGGAGGCTGGCAGGCAGAGCGCCACCCAGCCCCCCATGTGGGATACATGGGGCTCCAGTGCTGCAGTGTGAGCGCCCTGCTCCCTCGGCCAGCACTGCACCATAAAGTGTGCTTCTGAAGGAAAAGCAATTCGCTGGACACTTTCTCAAGTCACCTGCCAGGAAGGCTTTCCGGCAGCGTGAGAGGCTGAGATCCCTGGCGACAATGCACTTCCACCCCTGGGGCAGAGAAACATGAGCCCGGCAGTAACACGAACGCTGCCAGCTCCAGGGACCCAGCATGACTGCCCTGAGCCGGACGGTCCCATCGGAGCGGCAGACCAGACATTACCGGACCAATGAAGGAAGCGTATAGTACTCCAAAATAAAAAAAAAAAAGAATGTCTGCTGGGTGGCTTTACAAATTCAATCAAATGAAATCTCCTTTCTCAGAAATTCACAAGTAACACAATATTCTTTTTCCAGCTGAAAAACATAAACTAAACAAAGATCCAATCTGTTTTATAACAATTTAGTTTTGGGAAAAGGGTAGTGAAAATGTAATTTTCGGTTTCAAAATCAGGGCTTCTCTCTCCTTTTCTGAGGAATGTGGAGCCTCCAGGAGTAACAGGTGGCCTGTCATCCTCCAGGCAGGAAAGGCTAGCAGTCCATCTACAGCACACGGCAGTTTTGTCTTCACTCTCACAATTTCATAAGAACAACACTTAACCTTATTTACTTGTGATCTGACTCTGCACTGTTATCAGAGCCCACAAAACCGATTATTCCACTCATTCAAGGATCCTGCTCTGTAGTTGGAAAAACACCTAACTAAAAATGCCTGAGTGCTGTCAGCAGGTGACACCTTATCAGAAGATAACTCCCTTCTTCACAGGAGCCACGAGGAGCTTGGGGAAGAGTCACCCCTCAAGTAGCCTCCCTCCTCTGGACCGCCTCATTCGCGCAGGACCTCCCCACTCCCAGGCTAGCGCATATGTACACAGACACATCAGAAAGGTCTCTGAGGAACTTCCCTGGTGGTCCAATTGTTAAGAGTGTCTTGCAGTGCAGAGGACACTGGTTTGAACCCCGGTCCAGGAAGATCCCACAGGCAGCAGAGCAACTAAGCCCATGTGCCACATATACTTGAGCCCATGCTCCAGAGCCCCTAAGCCACAACTGTCATGCCCATGTGTCGTTACAACTACTGAAACCTGCGTGCTCTAGAGACACCACTGCATGAGATGCCCATGCACCCACAACGAAGAGTTGCCCCAGCCCGCCGCAACTGTGTGCTGTGTGCCTGCACACAGCAACAAACACCAAGCACAGCCAAAAATAAATAAATAAATAAATAAATAAATAAAATTTTAGGAAAAAAGTCTCTGAAACCTTAGACACTCCCTCAGCTCCTGTCAGGTATCTGTAGAACTGTGTAGGATCCAACAAGAAGGTGAGCAGTCAGTGTTATGTGGCAGCCTGGATAGGTGGGGAGTTTGGGAGGAGAAGGGATACATGTACACGGCTGAGTCCCTTTGCTGTCCACCTGAAAACTATCACATTATTAACGAGCTATACCCCAATACAAAATGTTTTTGGTGCAAAAAATAAATTTTACAAGTGAGTCACTGTCCTGATACTGTCACCCAGGTGCCCAAGTGGGACAGTCTGCTCCACACCAACTCTCCCAGAAAGCTACTGTGTGCCTGTTTTGTTTTCAACTATTTGTTTTTACATATTTTGCTGCGCCGGTTCTTGAGCTATGGCACTGGGATCTTTCAGTTGCGGCATGTGTCTGTCTGTAGCCTGTGAACTCTCAGCGGTTGCACAGGGCTCAGTGTCCCAGGAGGGGCGGAACCCATGGCCCTGTACTGGGAGCGGGGAGTCTCAGCCCCGGGCCTCCAGGGAGGTCCCACAGTCCCTGCGTGGCTGCCTGTCCCGGGTGCGCCCGCTGTGTTCTGGGGACCGGTCAGGAGGTTCAGCCTCCAGCCTGGAGGCAGGTCCCATCTGAGAACCTCCTGGGGCCGGCGGGCGCCCCCCGCGGGCGTAGAGGAATCGCACGTTTAGAAAAACAAAAGCGTGCGGTTTTGCTTGAATTTTTGAATATTTTAAATCGCTCAAAAAACTAAGCTTGGTTGCTTTCTCATCCGCCCGTCGGCCGTGGGTTTCTTGTGAGCGGTGCCCTAGCTCCGACCCCGCCTCTCCGTCACGACGGCCCCACCTGGACCTGCGGGCGGCGCTCCCACCTGCCCACCGCCCTCCCCACGCGCCGTCCCCGCGGTCTCCTTAGCGGAGGCAACAGGCTGCGAGCCAGGCGCCCCTCACACGGCAGGGCGGGGCGTGGGGGTGCGGCCCGAGCTCGGCCCCACACACCCCTGGTCTTCGACTCAGAGGAGCCACCTCACCCGGTGACCCTGCGGTGCCCCTCCGCCCCCCTCCGCCCAGGACCCCACACCCCACAGCGGAGCCTCCGCGCAGGCAGCTCACGTGCCCTTCTCCCGTGCCACCTCCGGAGTCCGGAGTCACCGACCCGCACAGAAGACCACGGGGCCTCACTGCGTCCACAAGGGAAGCTTCCGGGAGAAAAACACAAGGCTCTGCTTTCAGAGAGGCAGTGGGACACAGCATTTTGACCACGTATTAAAAAATAAGTGATAAAACACTTGTGATAAGTGATAAAACATCAAGTTCCCTCTTGACTCTTCAGCTGGGTGCTTTGCCAACGGCTGCCCTTTGGTATTCCTCCCACCTGGGCATCCTTTTTTTTTCTTTCTTAATTGGAGTATCCTTGATTTATGTCGGATTAGCTTCAGGTGTACTGCGAAGTGATTCAATTATACATATCTCTATTATTCTTTTTCAGATTTTCTCACATAGGTTATCACAGGATATTGAGTAGAGTTCCTTGTGCTATATGCTAAGTCCTTGGTTACCTATTTTACATAATAGTGTGTATATGTTACAAACTCCTGATTTATCCCTCCCCCCACGTTTCACCTTTGGTAACCATAGGTTATTTTTTATATCTGTCTCTTTATTTTGTAAATAAATTCATTTGTATCTTTTAAAAAAATCAGATTCCACTCATAACTAATGATTATCTTTCTCTGACTTGCTTCAGTTAATATGACAATCTCTAAGTTGCATCCGTGTTGCTTCAAATGGCATTATTTCATTGTTTATGGTGGACACAAATGACATTGTGTGTGTATACACACACCACATCCTCTTTATCCATTCATTCACTGACGGACATTTAGGTTGCTGCCGTGTCTTGGATATTGTAAACAATGCTGCTCTGAACACAGAGATGCATATATCTTTCTGAACTAGAGTTTTTATATTTTCTGGATTTATGCCCAGGAGTGGGATTGCTGGGTTATGCAGTAACTCTTATGTTTAGTTTTTTAAGAAACCTCCATACTGTTCTCCATAGTGGCTGCACCAGTTTACATTCCTACCAACGGTGTAGGAGGATTCTGTTTTCTCCACACCCTCTCTAGCATTTATTTGTAGACTTTCTGATAACGGCCATTCTGACCTCTCTGAGGGGGTACCTCACTGTAGGTTTGATTTGCATTTCTCTATTAATTAGTGATGCTAAATATCCTTTCATGTGCCTTAGGAATCTTTTTAAAAATTCTTTTCCCCCGTTTTGGCCACACCTCACAGCATGTTGGATCTTAGTTCCCCAACTAGTGATTAAAGTCACACCTCCTGCATTGGAAGTGGGGAGTCTAAGTCACTGGACCACCAGGGAAGTTTCCAGATAATAACTTTCGAACCAGATTTCTCTGAAAGCAAATGTACCCTCTAACCAGGCCAGGAAAAAGTCTGAGTTGGAAGGTCAGAGTGAAGGTACAGCTGTTTTAAGTCATAAAGTAACACTATACACCAAACTGATGGATTATTTCAGGGGCATTTAAATGTCGATCCTTTCTGCTAGCAATTAACATAAATTAAATGCTGATGGGAACTTACAGGTACCCCAACACTTCATTTTACTATATTTGTGTTTTAATATATTGGAAACAGTATCCACTTCATTATTTCCTGCACTGCAATTATCACTAATGGATTTTACCACAATGAGATCCCACCTGAATTCTGGATCATTTGTTTCTTTATATCACAACTGCAACAACAGCTCTTTTGTTTTTAAGTGACTTCCAGGAGATTTTCAGCTCCGCAGTCAGGCTGAGTCTCTGCACTCTCATCCACTATTTCCCCGGGATGGCTGGCTCCTCCTGACACCACAACCTTCTCACCGGTCTGTCAGGGGCAGCAGCTGGCAGCGACGTCGCTTCACATGCTCAGAGAACAGCTGGGCCTCTGCTGTCACTTGCACCAACCACTCTGCACTCGTTGCTCACAGCCCTGGGCTGGAGCGGAGCAGCTCTTAACACAACAAAGCTCATCACCCACAGGAGGGTCCCCGCAGCCACAGGAGAGTTCCCGCGTGGCCCAGAGGCTCCAGGAAGCCTGCAAGCAGAACCACTAGGCTCACAAACAGATCATCTGGGAAATGTAGGTTCTCTGGTAAGAAACTACAAGAGGGTTGATGGAGCTTTTAGCAGTAAAAGGGGAGTTGTTTCTTTCCCCCCAGGTCCCAGGACTCCGAGGCCAGGAGTGCATAACTAGGGTATTTCTAAGGAACTGAAGGTGCTCAAGCCTTCCTGAGATGCCCTGAGCACGAACCCTGCTCAGTCCCCAAGGAGCAGAAGTGCCCGGCTTGTGTCCTCGTTCACCCAGCTCTGACTTCCCCACAACAGGTGCTGGTAAAGCGCTTGCCTCCAGAAACTGTTTCATGAGGCAAGGGCATTTTTACTGGTTACGTGTCACTGATACTGTTACTGGTTACTGTTACTGTACTGTGCCCATGCACAGCTCAGCATCACTAGGTGCACAGTTCCTGTGTATGTTTACCTGTATTTGGTGCCTCCTCCCTGATAGCTCAGTTGGCAAAGAATCCGCCTGCAATGCAGGAGACCCCAGTTCAATTCCTGGGTCGGGAAGATCCCCTGGAGAAGGGATAGGCTACCCACTCCAGATTCTTGGGCTTCCCTGTGGCTCAGCTGGTAAAGAATCTGCCTGCAATGTGGGAGACCTGGGTTCAACTGCTGGGTTGGGAAGAGCCCCTGGAGAAGGGAAAGGCTACCCACAGTATTCTGGCCTAGAGAATTCCAGGGGCTGTACAGTCCATGGGGTCACAAAGAGTTGGACACAACTGAGCGACTCTTTCACACCACTAACTGGAGACGTCACGCTGTGTTGCACCATTCTGATGATTTCTGAAGCTTTTTATTCTAGTCTTTCTCCTTTCTTTAACATAGTTACATCTCTAACAGCGTATGTGCTATCTTTTAAAACAGAAGGAAAAAGAGTCAAAGAGCCAATTCATGCTAATCAACCTTCCCCCTGAGCTAAAAAATGCACAAAACAAAAACAAGTTAAAGGAAGCCTGTCTCTTTTCCGTGACAGCCCAGAATAAGCCAAATAAACCTTAAAAAGGGCTATGTGGGAAAGTCTGCCAGTCCTTCCAGGGGCACCCTTTGGGGAGAGCTCAGATTTCTGGATCATGCTGGAGAAGTAAAATGGCTCACAGGACGGTTTTGGGGAGAAGGGGACTTGTAGCCCAGACACCCCTCTCCAGGGACATCTGCAGGGCTCCTCTGCACCCCAAATGGGCTATCCCTGGGCTGGCCCGCAAGCAGCCTCTGGGGCCTGTACCTACCTGGTCACAGCCTGCATCCACCAGCTCCTGCAGCATCTGTCGGTTCACTTCTGTGGCAGCTGAGGTGCCCGACTCGTTAGCAAAGGGGAGTAAGGAGTATCTGATCTCCCGCAGGGCTTTCTGATATGGCCCGAACTTCGGGGCACTCCTCATCTGCTGCTGCCGGGCAGTGTCCTTGCCCCCCAGGACCTTGCCCCCCAGGACCTTGGCATCCAGGGTGGCGTCACTGCCCGGCCCCACAGGCGGCTGCTTCAGCCCCTCCCGGATCTCCTGCAGCCGCTGCCGGCTGTTCCCCGAGTACGTGGTGGCGGGGAAGGTCTTCGGCCGCATGGTCGGCGCAGGTTCCTCTGACCATAAATACAATCTTCTTAAAGTGTTTTATTGTTTAAGAGACAAGACCAACAGTATCAGTTAGCTGTAAACACACTTTCACAACAGTTTCCTTTTGAAAGTGTCCTTTCCTTCCATTTTTGTAGTTCCTCCAGAGAACCAAACATTTTCCAGGGTCTTCATTTTGAAGATCATCTCCACCTGAAAAGGAAAATCAGAAGGTGTTCATCGGTGTTTCCCACATAACATTAGCAGTACTTTTTGGTGGTGGTTTAGTCGCTAAGTTGTGTCCAACTCTTGCAACCCCATGGACTGTAGTCCGCTAGGCTCCTCTGTCAGTGGGATTCTCCAGGCAAGAATATTGGAGTGGATTGCCATTTCCTTCTCCAGGGGATCTTCCTGACCCAGGAACAGAACCCAGGTCTCCTGCACAGGCAGGCAGGTTCTTTACCAACTGAGCTATGAGAAAAGCCCCTTAGCAGCACTGCTGGTGTTTCCCACATAATGTTAACAGTACTTTTTAGGAATGGACAAACTCAACAACAACAAAAAAAAAACAAACAACCTAATCAAAAAATGGGCAGAAGACCTAAACAGACATTTCTCTAAAGAAGACATACAGATGGTCAACAGGCACATGTCAAGATGCTCAACATCATTAATTATTAGAGAAATGCAAATCAAAACTACAATGAGGTATCACCTCACACTGGTCAGAATGGCCAACATCAAAATGTCTACAAATAACAAAGGCTAGAGAGGGTGTGGAGAAAAGGGAATGCTCCTACTCTGTTGATGGAAGTGTAAATTGATACAGTCACTTTGCAGAATTGTATGGAGGTTCCCAGAAAAACTAAAAATAGAGTTAACACATGATCCAGCAATCCCACTCCTGGGCACATATCTGGAGAAAACTCTACTTCAAAACAATACATGCACCCCTATGTTCATAGCAGCACTACTTATTAATACAATAGACAGAATATGGCAGCAACCTAAATGTCCATCAACTGATGAGTGGATAAAGATGTGGTACATATACTCAATGAAATACTACTCAGCCATTAAAAAGAATGAAATGCCATTTGCAGCAACATGGATGGACTTTAAAAGATTACCGTACTAAGTGAAGTAAGTCAAACAGAGAAAGACTAATACCATATGACATCACTTATATGTGGAATCTAAAATATGACACAAAAGAGCCTATCTATGAAGCAGAAATAGACTCACAGGCATAAACAACAGACTTGTGGTTGCCACAGTGGAAAGGTGGGAGAGTGCCTGTTGGATTAGGAGTTTGAGGTTAGCAGATACAGACTATTATATATAGAATGGATAAAAAAGATCCTAATGTATAGCACAGAGAACTATATTCAATATCCTGCAATAAGCCACAATGGAAAACAATATGAAAAATAGTGTATATATGTGCATAATTGAGTCACTTTACTGAAGAGTCAAAATTAACACAACACTGTAAATCAGCTGTGCTTCAATGTCAAAAAATGAGTTTTTGATGACAACATTTAAAACGTTAAAGTATCTTTTTTTTTAAAGAGAGAAAAGCTCAGACTCTGTGTGAACACAGCCTGAATCAGGCTGCACAGCTCTGAGGACCTGGTTCTTCCTCCAGCTGGAGCATGGCAAGCCTGTCCTGTGTCCAGGGACAACCCCCTCCCACCTGCTCACCACGTGAACCTCAGGGCTTCCAGCTGTAAACCCCTCCAGAGCAAAGGGCCTCTCGCCCTGCTGTTCACCCCCAGGCCCCAGCACCTGAACTGTGAGAACTGAGGGTGGGAGCCGCTGCCCACTGCCTGGGTCTGTGCCCTCTCCTGGGCTGGACCTGAAACCTGCCCCCTGGGGGTCTCAGGAGAGCACTCAGCAGGGGCTATGCCCCTTCTCCAAGGCTTCAAATGCAATATTTCTGATGTTTACACAAAACCACTGTAAGAAGCTGCACAACTGCGCTATACTACTCAGCCAGAAAAAGTAGTAAAGCTCTGACACAAGCTGGTGTTCAGTCACTAGGTTGTGCCGGAGTCTTTGCAACCCCATGGACTAAAACCCACCAGGCTTCTCTGTCCGTGAGATTTTTCAGGCAAGTATACTGCAGTGAGTCACCACTTTCTTCTCCATGGAATCTTCCCGACCCAGGGATCGAACCCACGTCTCCTGGATGGCAGGCAGGTTCTTTACTGCTGAGCCACCAGGGAAGCCAACAGGCTACAATGTGGATGAACCTTGAGGACATTATGCTGCGTGAAGCAAGCCAGACACAGAAGGAAAACACTACGTGACTCTGATGAGGCAAATCCAGAGACAAGGTGGATTGCAGTTACCAGGGCTGGGCCGAGAAGGTTTTTACTTAATGGGTACAGAGCTTCTGTTTGGGACACTGAAAAAGTCCGGACTGTGGCAGTGACTGTAGTGACAGTGTGCATGTATTTACTGCCACTGAACTGTACATTCAGGAATGTTTAAAATGATAAGCATTACGCCAACTCATCTAATGTTCATATCCAGCAGGCCAGGGTCTGACCATGCTCCCCCTCCAAACACAGCTGTGTTGGGAAAGGCCGGACCTCAGCACTGGTGCTGACACAAGTGCACCCCGCTCACAGACGGAGGTCTGAACAGCCTGGTACCCCCCACCCCACACGGAAGCACAATGGGGAGTGGCTTCCCAAGGCCACACACCCCCAGATACTTTTGAGTGCCTGTAGGTCCCACAAACATTCTGATTATAAAGCCGAGCAGTGCAGGAGAGACCGGACATGTGTGCATTTACACATGAGCTTAGAAACACCAGGGCGGGGAGGGTGCTGAACGGAATCCAGGTCAGACATAGTGGTATCTGTCCTTTCTTTTCCTCCCCTTCAGCATTTCATTATGAAGATTTTCAAACATACAGAAAAGGTGACAGAGTTATTCAGTGACAGCCCCTCAACCTGTACCTAGGAAAGCTCCTTGTGCAGAGGCGGCGGGAGGACCCCCCCCATCCTCTCATCCTCTTCCCACCGTGCTCCCCTAGGCACACCTGGCTTCCTCAGTGATGGTGCCAGACACCTAGGGAAGGATGAAACTTTCCTTCAGTCGCGCAAAGAATCCAAGTATTTTCTCAGCTTGAGACCTTGTATTTTAGACTTTAGTTTGACGAGAGTTGATTTCATGGCAAAATTATGAACTTCTGAAAGCATTTTTCATGAGAATACTCATCAGTCAAATTATGACTGCAGCTGGAAATGAGCCCCTCTGACACACTACAGTATCATTTTAATAAGCTCTCTCATCCAGAATTTCAAAAGGCCCTAAGGGCCCTATGACCTAAGGTCTCAAGAGTCTTAAAAAAAATGAGGGTGGGCCTCCCTGGTGGCTCAGTGGTAAAGAATCTGCCTGCCAATGCAGAAGACATGGGTTCGATCCCTGGTCCGGGAAGATCCCACATACCATGGAGCAACTAAACTGGTGCGCCACAACTACTGAGTCTGTGCTCTAGAGCCCGGAAGCCGCAACTACTGAGTCCATGTGCTGTAACTACTGAGACCTTGTGCCTAGAGTCTGTGCTCCGTGACAAGAGAAGCCACCCGCACACCTCAACGACAGAGTAGCCCCCGCTCCCCACAACTAGAGAGAAAACCTGCACAGCGCCAAAGACCCATCACAGCCAAAAATAAATTAATAAAATTATACAGGCTTCCAGGGGGCGTCAGTGGTAAAGAACTGGCCTGCCAATGCAGGAGACATAAGAGACACGGGTTCAATCCCTGGGTCAGGAAGATCCCCTGGAAGAGGGCATGGGAACCCACTCCAGTATTCCTGCCTGGAGAATCCCATGGACAGAGGAGCCTGGTGGGCACAGTCCATGGGGTCGCAAAGAGTTGCACACAGCTGAGGCGACTTAGCATACATGCACACACGGTGCACTGGTTACAATTCTGTGTTTTCACTACTGAGGCCAGAGAACTAAGATCCCACAAGCCACAGTGCACCAAAACAAAGGAGGGGTGGGTAGCAAACAAAGCAGTCTAATGTTGGGAATTTCTTAGGTATCATCAACTGACTTAAATATACTTCAAAAGAAACTATAAGACACTGGAAATTTAAAATTGCAATACAACTCACAAAACAAAACTCATTTTCAAATCTGGGGCTGAGACAAAGGCTAAGGCCTATCCCGAGTACAAGCGGCTCCACTAAAAACAATATGAGAGCAGTATTCTAAGCAAACCTTCATGTGGCCCTATCAAACTCAATTCCAGTCTTTCAACCAATCCTGGAAAATGTTATCAGATGTTCAAGAATTTTTATTCTAATTCCTCCAAGTGCTTCACAACCTCACTGGCTGCCAAATACACATTCAGCACCGACCAGGGAACCAATGAAACCCACGTCCTGTGGGATCCACACTATTGACATACAGCATTTTTTTTTAACAATATTTCTTGGGCCTAAAATTCCAGTTATTATTTAATTCGTATCTTTACTATAATTAACTAGCAAAGCTGAAACGAGATCAGGCAGCCAGGCCAGACCTCCAGCCAGGTGCTGAACACCAGAATCACAAACCACCACGCTGATAGCTGACTCCAGGGCTGCCCCGGCCAGGAGACCCCATGCCAGGGCCACCCCTCACTGGGAGGGTCCCTAAGAATATCCTTCCAGGGACTTCCCTAGTGGGCCAGTGGCTAAGACTCTGAGCTCCCAATGCAGGGGGCCTAGGTTCAATCCCTGGTCAGGGAACTAGATCTCATATGCCACAACTAAAGATCCCATGTGCTGCAACAAAGACTCAGCACAGGCAAATAAATAAATAAATATTTAAAAAAAAAAAAAAAAAAAGAATATCCTTCCAATCAAGGGTGCAATCACAAGGTTTCAGAGGGTACAAAGGTCTTCCACATGTGCCAAATGCTGTGCTGAATGGTACGTCAGGCTACCCAGATAGGACAGAGCCTCACCTCCAAGTAAGTTTCTGACCCAGGGAAAAGAAACCACCACACGCCTTATTGGCTCTATACATGACATCGGTATGATATATGTACACAGATATCCGTGTGTGTGTCTGTGTGTGTATATACCCACACACAGACACACACATGAATACAGCATAAAAACCATGGAGCTATAGAAGTCTGTACCTAAGACCATCACGCGGAATCAGCAGGCCAGGGATAAACGTACGGTCAGTTCTGTGCAGCACTCCTCACAGCAAGCAACCCAGCAAGTGAGTCTCCTGTGTTCTTTCCACACCCCGGCAGAGCTTCCACTCTTTGAGAAGCCTTGCCTCCTTCCAACAACCCTCCCTTCCCAGAGTCAGACACTTGCTGGCCAGGGCTCTGACCACCTGAGCCACTGCTGTGGACAGAGGTGACCGTGACTGTCCCCAGAATCCCAGTGCTCAGGCCTATTCAGAGAAGACCTCTCAGAGAAAGGGTCGTGTCACCAAAGCTGGAAAGGGGAAAGGGCTGACATTGGACGGAGGAAGTGTGAAGCTATTCCTGGAGCCTGGGACTTCCTGTGAAAAGGCTAAAACACAGAAGAGAAAGACCAACAGGGAGATAACTGTGGGTGTGTGTGTTGCGGGGGGAGGTACCCTCTGGGTCGATTTAATGAAAACACAGGAGTGGCACTCCTGTGAAGCAGGACAGGACTGAATTAATGAGTAAGGAAAAAGCCAGTCCTCAGCACTCCAGCTCAAGATCACCGCCTGGAGTCACTACCCCAAACGGAGACCCACTCCATTCAAAAGCCAACTTACATCCTCAGAAAGGTTCTCACCACCCTAACGGCATTTAGAGCCTACAGGATCTGCCTGGCACCACAAAATCGGAACGGTTAATAGTAAATGCAAACCAATGCTACAAAATAGGAGTTTTCACTTATCCTGCAGAAAAATTCCTATGAACGTTAAATATTAGCACACAGACAAAAATTAAGTAAAAAAAAACACCTGTCACTATTAGGTTGACAGATGGCAAGAGATACAAAGTTTTCCTACAGTGAATGGCAAACATTGAACAATGTCAGAGTCAAATTCCCACCCTAATTTTAGCATTGTAACTGTTCTCTCTCTGTCCAAGGGTACCAACCTTTGTTAGCTTTAAAGCAACCAACAGGGAAGTGAGCAGCGACGCAGGCTACCTCCCTTCAGGCCCCAGCAGCCTCCACAGGTGCTGCTGTGATAAAACCCAACCCCATCTCCACAAAGAGCGGCAGCCGCCCACACACAATGAGGCTGGGGACCCTGGACTGCCGAGGCTGGACAGGGATTACCAAATACTCGGCTTCTTTAAAAAGGAAGGAGATTCAGAGAGTTTTTTTAGAGCAGATTTACAGTCAAAGCAAAGTAAATGCAGTGAATTGATCTTTCTTCAAACCCATCATTCTTTTAAACATCAGTGAAGAACATTATTTAGAAGTTTCACATTATTATGACCATAAAATAAAATATAAAAGCAGCTTTTCAATCTGTTTTTTCCAATACAAATCGGAACACCTCCCAGTAAAGTTCCCCACATCCTTCCTGTGAGTTTACCTGGTATTTATCAGCTTCAACACCTCTCCCCACCCCCAGCCCACACATGCAGTAAGGTTTAGGAGACCAGGGCTGGCTATTTACAACAAGATATTCAAAATAACAAGGCATCTTATTGTAAACATCCCCCCCCCCCCGCCCCCACCAAAGGAAAGTCCCTCCCACCAACCCGGGGATTTGCTAAGGAAAGAAAGAAATACATACAGCTAAGTCAAAACTACTTCCAGTCAGATGGAGAGCTCCAAGAACTCTCTCCAGTTCAAAAATTCTGAGATTCTAGTAATTCACCTTAATAATTTTTCATGACAGCTTCTGCTCAGATACGTTATTCAATAAACTGCTTGACTTTTTAAGATTTATTAAATGTTCAGCAATTTTAATTTCAAAGGAATGCTGGTATATTCACTAAACAGTGACCAAATTTTATGAGGCTGAATAACAGTGTCTTGTTAATTATAACTTAAAACAGACTTTCTTAAACAGTCTGTGCATTCTTATCGTGAAGATTTTCCTCTTACTGCCTTGCTAATACATTTGTTAAAGAAAAAAAAAAAAAAAACTGAAAAGATACAAAGTAGCTTAGTCTCTAGATTGAGCGCTCAAAAATGGTGATCCATCGCAGGGAACGGAGCTTAAATTCAACTGAAAATATGGACCAAAGTCTCCTTAGCACAATTTTCCTAATAATGCGCCAGGAGTTACTTTCTCCATTACTAAGGGAAGGCCTGTCAACTCCTGGGTTAAAATTTAAACTGAACACCTGTGTGAACAACACGCATTTTGTGACTTTCCATTCAAGTTTCTTAGTAAAATGTGGCCAAACTTTCCTCTGAAAACGTACGTATTTGCTGAGCACTTTGGGAAGAGAACTGCCTGGCCACTGACTCTACCTGCCAGGCGCTGGACCCCGCGAGGCCCCGGGCGGGGGCTCCAGCCGGGATTCCAGCCCGGCGAGACCCCGGTCCCGCCGCCCGCGGACCGCACGCCCAGTTCACCGGCCTGGCCCAGCCGACGCCCGCGGGCCGGGCAGGTGTGCCACCCAGGCCCTGCCTGCCCCCGCCGGCGCCCCAGGACCGCGAGCCCGTCCCAGAGCCGGGAGCGGGGGGCCCGGGAGGCCCGGCTCCGGACCGGGTCAGGGTGGGGGGCAAGTGGGGGAGTAGCCGGCCCCGCCCCGCCCTCCCGCTCAGCCCCCAGGGAGCGCCTGCATCCCAGCACCTGCGCCCCGCCCAGCCCCTCACCTGGACGCGGACCTCCGCCCTCACCTGTGCTCGGCCCGGGCAGGCCCCCTCCTCGCTTTGTGTGGGGGAGAAGGTCCTTCCCTTGCTCTGTCCTCGACGACAGAGACAGAACTAACCAAAACAGATAGGCTGTAAATAAAATGGACTTTACAATTTATGAGTGAGATACCTAATCAAATTTTGGAATTGTTTGCAATAGTGAAAAATCAGGAAGAACCTAAAAGTCTAGCAATGGGGAACAGTGGGGAAATAAAATATGTAAAATAGATCAGTGAAACCTGAGTGTAGATAGACTTCAAAAATCATTGCAGAAGGGAGAAAAGCGAGGTGCAGAACTATATATACATTACAACAGCATGTTTATAAACAAACCAAATGTCCCAGAACCTATACTGATCAAGTACTGTATACTCGTACCCACAAGGACTGAAAGACAGACATGCGGAAATCATGACAGCTGTGGCCGGGCAGCAGGGAGGCTGGAAACTGGACTCAGGAGGAAACTGGGGTCATCATCTTTCTCTCCAGTCTTTCTTTATTTGGAACAAACTGTCCGAACTTTAAAATTTGTTGATTCTCAGTGATTAGGTTCAATAATGTGTGCTGTGTTATTATTCTTTGTGCCTTTTTTAAAAACATCTTTTAAAATTTTCCACATATACAGGAAACAAATTGGAAACAAATTTCCAGATAGAGTCTCACTTGAGGAAACTGATATACAATATAGGAGAACAGTTGTGTTTATTGACACAGAGTCAATCATTCTTTTGGTTTTTTTTTTTTTTTTTTTTAAGGACCTACCATGAACCATTGGAGAAAGCACTGGAAACCCACTCCAGTACTCTTGCCTGGGAAATCCCATGGATGGAGGAGCCTGGTGGGCTGCCGTCTATGGGGTCGCACAGAGTCGGACACAACTGAAGTAGGACCTACCATGAACCATTGGAGAAAGCACTGGAAACCCACTCCAGTACTCTTGCCTGGGAAATCCCATGGATGGAGGAGCCTGGTAGGCTGCCGTCTATGGGGTCGCACAGAGTCGGACACAACTGAAGTGATTTAGCAGCAGCAGCAGCCATGAACCATGGATTAAACCAAACACTGTTGGTACCATAGGGAGCAGAACTACTTCATTTACCCACTGGCAGAACTTACACTGGCAGAACTTACACTCATAGATACATTCAAGAAACTTAAGTGACAGAATGGCATATAGGATCTAATTTGGTTAAATGATATATACATTTACATTTAAGCTATATACATAAAGTATACATTATATATCATATAAAATATATAACAGTATATATGTGTGTGTGTATATATACATGTATATACACATACATATGTGTGTGTGATTTTAAGTTCAGAAAATTATGCTGCCAAATATTCAAAATGGTACTCTCTGTACATAACGGTTCTGGGTGGCTTTTGTCTTAAATTCCTGATAACTCTACATAGGACAAGTTTAAAAAGAACTGTTTAAATAATCATCCACATAATGCATCCAGTTGAGAAGGGGAAAGAAGAGACAGGAAGCACAAGTTCTGCTGAGCATGAAGTCTGTGGCGGTGGCAACCTCGCTGGGTATAACTTTGATTAACATATGTATATACTATGTGTGTATACCAGGTGTTGCCCTACACTTGTGTATTATCTCAGTTAATCCTCTGGCTTAAAACTCAACATTCAAAAAACTAAGATCATGACATCTAGTCCCATCACTTCATGGCAAATAGAAGGGGAAACAATGGAGACAGTGACAGACTATTTTCTTGGGTTCCAAAATCACTGCAGATGGTGACTGCAGGCATGAAATTAAAAGACACTTGCTCCTTGGAAGAAAAGCTATGACCAACCTAAACAGCATATTAAAAAGCAGAGACTTTACTTTGCCAACAAAGGTCTGTCTAGTCAAAGCTGTGACTTTTCTAGTAGTCATGTATGGACGTGAGAGTTGAACTATAAAGAAAGCTAGTGCCAAAGAATTGATGCTTTTGAACTGTGGTGTTGGAGAAGACTCTTGAGAGTCCCTTGGACTGCAAGGGGATCCAACCAGTCCATCCTAAAGGAGATCAGTTCTGAATATTCATTGGAAGGACTGATGCTGAAGCTGAAACTCCAATACTTTGGCCACCAGGTGTGAAGAACTGACTTGTTGGAAAAGACCCTGATGCTGGTAAGATTGAAGGCAGCAGGAGAAAGGGACAACAGAGGATGAGATGGTTGGGTGGCATCACCAGCTCAATGGACATGAGTTTGAGCAAGCTCCAGGAAATGATGAAGGACAGGGAAGCCCGGTGTACAGCAAGCAGTCCATGGGGTCACAGTCAGACACGACTGAGCAACTAAATAACAACAGTGTTATTAACCCCATTTTATAGAAGACCCATTTTACAGAGAGCCCAACTAACTCACCAGAGACGAAGAGCTGGGAGTCCAGCCTTGGTGGATCTGACACCAGAGCTTGGAGACACTGAATTATAAGGTGTATTCATGTAATCTCAAACAGTCATGACCTTTTCACTTTGTCCAAGGGGACAGGATTGGTCCCTGTAGAGTGAGCAGGGGGGCCCCGGGCCCAAGGTGTTTAAGGGGTCCCCCCTGAGGCCACTGTGCAATGTACCCCACCCTTTCCCATCTGTGAATGCAAACAACCTGATTATGACTTAGCCTCTTATACCTTAGTGGCTGGAAAGCAGGCTCTGGTCTCAACAGAATTTTTGGAAAGAAAAGTCCTCTTTGTTTGCAATCTGTGGCGGACACGCAGCAAATCTGCCTAACTAAGAAGAATGTTCTCTATGGGGAGTAGTGAAAAAGCAGAGGAGGGTCAGATTTCGAAAGGCCTAGACAAGCAGAAAGAAGATGGGCTACACTGATTTAATTTGTTTCATACCCATGTAGTCTGTCTCCTTAATTAGATTATAAAATTCCTTAACAACAGGGACCATTTTCTCTCCCTAAAGCTATAAATGGGGAACTTAACTGCTGGTTTGAATGTACTGAATGAAATTTTAAAGGCTGTTTTAATGTCTGAAATATAAAAATTTTAAATATCACCTTTTTCTCAGAATCAGGCACTCTGGGTCAGCCAGGGTGATCTCTTGGTCCACTGTTCTTTGGAGGTCTCTGTTCTGCAAACCTGTAGGTACTTGTAAAAAGAGTTATCAATACCAGGTTTATTAGTTGGGGGTATCTATTTTAATGATGAACTGTTTTTTTTTATTTCTTTTTATTGTGATAAAATATACATAATATAAAACTTACAAATTTTTCATCATCCAAGATTGACATTCTGTCCTCTTTAAATACTATCTCCCCATTTCCCTTCCCCACTTGTTTGTTTTTTTGAGGGACTTTTTTGTTGTTTCCCTCTGTTTGGTAATTTTCTGACTTTTTTTTTTTTTGGTCACAGCTTTTGGGATCTTAGATCCCTGACCAGGGATCAAAGCCATCCCTCCTACAGTGGAAGCGCCAAGTCCTAACCACTGGACTACCAGGGAAGTCCCTAAAGTTCAATTCTTACATGTATTTTCCAATATTAAAGTCATGAGTGAGTAAATTTTCTCTGATTTTAATTTACTTCTAATTGTTTTGAGCCATTTTGGAAAACAGAGCTTCCTGGAAATTTTGATTAAAACCTCCAGGGCGTTCTTAGGGGAAGGCCCACGGACACAGCAGGGCTTACAGGCTGGCCACCTTGCCAGTCTCTGTAGACCTGCCTCTCCAGCAGCATCCAACACAGAACCCTGCTTCATCCTCTGGATAGCCGCTCTGCTTCTCAGATGAGTAATGAAGTATGTGGTTGCATAAGTCAGAATTGCTCAATAATTTAAGATGTGTTCCCAGAAGATCTCAAAAAAACACTATCAAGATAAAAATCACATTCTGCCTTTAAAAAATTCTTGGGTTGACACTTTACGTTATTAAGAGACAATTGCTAAAACAAGTTTTCTTTTCCTATCACATCCTCCGTTTGTTTACCTTTCATGCTGAGTGAGCTGTGACAGCAACACTGGCGATCCACTTACTTTTCTCACTGCATTTATAGTTGGCTGCAACTTCTGTTTCCTCTGCAGACATAGGCAGAATGTTTTTGTGTCTGTAATTGAAAGAAAAATCCCACCATGAAGGTCTGGAAGCTCCTAGACGTTTTAAAACTTTCCTTTAAGATCTTAATCTGATCATTTGCAGTAAATATTGGTAAAACTTGCTTTAGGGAGGAAGAACAGAGAACATAAGGCTCCAACTCCTGTCTCAAGGAAATCAATTTCTGTAACAAAATTAACACTAAATTTTTTCTGACAGATGATGTTGACCGTTTTCCTTACATTTTACTTATTACTGGCTGCTCTGGGACTTCGTTGGCACACTGGGGTTTTCTCTGGTTGCAGCAGAGCAGGAGCTACTCTCTCGTGGACCTAGAGCGTGGGCTTCGTGGTTGTGGTGCATGGGCTTAGCTGCCCCACAGCACGTGGGATCTTCCCGGACCAGGGATCCAACCTGTTCCCCCTGCATTGTCAGGCAGATTCTCAACCACTGGAGCACCAGGAAAGTCCAAACCTAACATTTTCAAAGGAAAACAGCTGAGCCAATCTAAATTGACAAGAAATTTTTAATTGTGTAATTGCAAAAGGGACATTTTCACATTCTATTTTTAACTTTTAGTTTACAGTTAACTACTAAATGTCATTGGGGCCTCCCTGGTGGCCCAATGGTAAAGAATCCAACTGCCAATGCAGGAGACGCAGGAGACGTGGATTCAGTTCCTGGGTTGGGAAGATCCTCTGGAGAAGGAAATAGCAACCCTTCCAGTATTCTTGTCTGGGAAATCCCATGGACAGAGGAACTTGGTAGGCTACAGTCCATGGGGTTGCAAGGAGTTGGACACAACTCAGCTACTAAGCAACCACAAAAACAACTAAATGTCATTACATTTGTTACTGAACATTTGCTTCTAAGACCACTGTGTTTTGCTTTATCAAAGAGATCTGAAAAGAAAACTGTGTGTTCTCTTCAGATGCTGGGTAAGTGGGTTTTGATCCTGAAAACTATGATGAGGTTATGATAAGGTGATTTCACATGCAGAAGTGGAAGACGGCCTATGGTAGACTGACAGGCTGCCCCACTTGAAAGAGCAAAGGGAAACCTATAAAAGTCAGGAAGCAGTCATGAAGATTGTATCTGACGGCTGGTAACCCCAGGACAAGAAGAGTTTCTGGGCTTCAGGGTTGGAACTTGAAAAGTATTCCAGAGCTACTAGACTTCAGAAAGTCAGAGGTGAAAGGAGGAATTAGAGTTCAAGGTACAGGTCTCAGAAGAAGGAGAGAACAGAAACAAAGGTATCGGCAGACTGGTGTTTAAGGCAGGTGGAGAACTGGCTCAGGCAATCCGTTGCTGTTGAGTCAACCCTGGTGGGTGGTGGTGAAGGGGGCCGGGAAACGGGCTGGAGATATATTCGGGAGCTCTCACAGGAGGTGAGGTTGGAGGTGAGATGACTGCAGGGCGGTAGAAGGCATCTCGGTGCCTGTGTTTCACAGGACAAAAGGGTGGAACACGGTCGTCTACAATGAAAGATGACCTCAAGGCAAAACAAGATCTTAAGTCTGTCCACCTTGTCTCTCTCTTATTTTGCATACATGAGACTTCTTGCTGTATTCATGGGTTACAAAAGTTATGATCTGCATCACAAAATCCCAAGTTTTCATTTTCACTCTTCCAACCACTTGCTGGACATTTTCTCACTGGTCTCTTGATGACCTTTGAAAGTCAAAAGGAGAAATACTTAGAACTTACAACAGGCCAGGTTTGTCACCCTCTCTAGCAGCACTTAATTTGTTCAATATTATTGGAAACCCAGATACTCTCAGCTCTGGGGACACAACAGTGACAGCAAACATCACTGTGGTGCTGTGCTCAGTCATGTCCGAATTTTTTCGACTTCATGGGCTGTAGCCCACCAAGAATACTGGAGCAGGTTGCCATTTCCTACCCCAGGGGATCTTCCCAATGCGGACCCAAGGATCAAACCCACGTCTTTTACGTCTCCTGCATTGGCGGGCAGATTCTTTACCACTAGTGCCACCTGGGAATCCCCCCAAAGGAAAGACAATACAGCTCCTTGAGCTCTTTATCATAGAAGGAGTATGACCTGGTTGGTCTAGGAAATGTGGGAAGCACTTTAGTTGAGATGCCAAACTGAAGAAGAAATTAACAAGAAGAACTAGGAAAGTGTCAGAGAGCCAGTGAGCTGCATATGCAAAGGCCCTGTGTGGGGAGGAACAGGACTCAGCATCTCAAATCCCGGGAGAAGACTCTTATGAATGGAATGCAGAGATGCGAGGAGAGATGGGGGCTGAGGAGGAGGAGGCAGGCATGTGGGGCCTTTAAGGGCACTTTAAGGATTTAAGTCTTAATACTCAGGACAGTGGGACTCATGGCCATGGGGGGTGGGGGGAAGCAGAGGAATGGCAGGGTCCCGATCAGCTGTGGAGTGGCTGGGAGCTGGGAGGAAGGAGGGGGATGGGCCAGAAGGTTACTAGCTGCAGAGGGAGGTGATGGGCTTGAGCCAAGATGGTAACAGTGGACAAGGGAAAAGTGGCCGAAATGGAGAAATAATAGTGGTAACACTTTGAGATCCCAGTGGATTTGTTTCTGGAGGTATCTTCTGAGCTGGAGCAGAGTGCATGGACAGAGACCTTAGGAAGACCATGGTGGACACCAATCTGTAGCCAAGGTCTCTAAGTCGATCACAGATGCTACGGGTGGGGTGTGCAGGAAGGGGCCTGATGCTGAGGAAATGCACCATCCACAGTGAGTCTGCACAGGAAACATCAGCTGCAGGGGCCCAAGAAAAAATACGGCCTCTCAGAAACAGAAGGAAGAGTGCTTTTAGGAGGGAGGGATCAACCACAGTGCAGGCTGCTAGGAAGCAAGTAAAAGGAAACACCCGCTGGACTGAAGCCCTGCAGCCACCGGAGCATGGAGCCCACCGGGTGGAGGAGGTGGGAGGCGTTGTGGCCAAGAACCAAGACAGCTCTGAGACCTGCCATTGGAAAGGGGCGGGCAGGGACAGGGCTGCAGCTGGAGGCGGAGGAGGCCACTGCTGTCAGAAGGTAAACAGCACAGGTTGTGGCCTGAAGGAGCCTCCGCTCATTCCATGACGGGAAGCTAGGTCAGAAGACACCCCCTGCACCTCTGGAAGCTCTTGGCCTGCACCCAGCAGGAAAACAGGGTCCTGGGTCCCACAGCCCCAGAGAACCGCGCAGAAGAACGGGAAGCAGAGTCTCCCTGGAGGCTCTGGGACGAAGGCCATCCTGCCAACACCTGGGTTTTAGCCGCGGAGGCTGCACGTGGGTTTCTGGCCTTCACAACTGGAAGACAGTAAACCTGTGATGCTTCAGCTGCTGGTGGGGGCGTCACGGCAGCAGGAAAGAAACCATCACATGCCCCGCTGGGGCCTGGCTCTGTGGTGGCGTCTCCCAGAAGCCATTCTGGAGGGTCTCTGCTGGGAATGACCCCTTTCCTTTCCTATGAACTCCCAGCAGCACTGGCCGAGGAGTGGTCATTCAAAGACTCGTCCTGGTTCTCTGGTGAGTCTGGCTCTCT